TGGGTTTTCTTCAGGCACACAAAGCAGATAGTGGTCAGATGCTATCACGTGATTTAAAAACACGTGAGATGCAAAGATTGAGTTCGATTACAGGAGATTGATGACCAATTTGAACTCAGCTTTCTCGGCCACAATCAGAAATTGAGTATTTAGATCAAAAGAAAGTTACGCAAGAGTTAAAGTAACCTATTCACTCACTCTGCTTTAGGAGATAAACTGATAATTACCAGCACTGGATCTAGTATTTTTTGGTCACCCCAAAAGTTTGCAAGCTCGAAGGGTAATTTGTGGAACAAAGGCTTCTCAGCTGAATAACTCTGGCACATTAGTAAGCTGAGATGAAGTAGAAAAGTCTTCATCTACTTGTTCTCTCAAGGTACAATTCTATAACCACAGCAGAATGACGGAAATCCCTCTTACTGTACTTGCAAAGTAACCATAACCAAGGACCTACATCAACAACAAGGTAACTAATACAGATTTTATCAGCTAAGCATAACTCAAAACAGATCTGCTAATCATTCTGAAGCAACAATATGCCTAACATTCTGTTAGGCCCTGTGAAAGAGACAATGGATATATTCTTTGCTTCCTTCAGAATTATGAGCTTTAATCCAACATGCCCGATACAGACGTGCCCTACCCAATTAATCTATATTGACATCAAGATGAGTTTTAAAGGTAAAAAGTATTTAGGGTTTTGAGCAGTAGCTGAAGTATGAGAGGACTATTAACATTTTACCAAAACTTTGACAATCAGTCCTTTTTAGATAGTCTTTTAATAAGCCCTACTAGTATGAGTCCAGTCTATAACTCTTCAATGTATAGTGTCAAACTATCTACTTCCCAATGGGATGGACACGTTCAAGTTCAAAATATAGGCTATCATATTTAGTTTATGTCATCGGCCAAATTTGCAACTCCATAACATAAAGTTAAACTTCCACGTGATTGCATATGCTATCTGCTGTATTGAGTCAGTAGCTGAAATGAGCCAACAATAAGGTAACCGGATTTAAGCTTACTATAGAGCTACTGATCACCAATCATATGGTGTTTTCCAGTTTACTACCTTTGCTGTACTTTAATACCTCTCATTTTCATCATCTCGCAACCCCCACCACCAATAAACACAGCCCTGCTCTCGAGCCTATCCCTAGTGTGTGTATACAAAATCTATTCATCTTATTTGATCTCATTTGAATCAAATACAGACCTCCTATACTGCAGTCTGCAGATATTTTGAATTACAACATAACCTCAACATTAAAAAAAAAAAAAAACCACCACCAGAAACTGTGAAAAAATGGATCTGGCAGCATTATGTAATTAGGATTTAATTTCATCCTAACTATTGTAGCAGCATTACTTTATGTTCTTTCACACAGGTACAGTTCTCCGCCTTTTCTGTACTAGCTTTCCTCTTAGAAGTGAATGTCTGCTTGCAAAGTTCAGAAAACCTTATCTTCATCAGATGGGACACTTCATTCTCCACCAAGGGCAGACAGAGACAGTCAAGTTCTCAACAATATCTGGCTTCATTTGTATGATTCTCTAGCATACCTTTGCAGTGCTATTACACTCATCACTGAATAATGCTGCAGACTTAGGATGAGGTATTTTTTTTTCTCTTGCCATAGCGTAACTTTTTAAGGTTTACTTACTGTTTATCTTAAAAGTTATAAGACATTTAAAAAAAAACATGCAATGGTGTGGAAGAGGCACTTGCCTTAACTCCAAGCTTCAGTCTGCAGCACTGATCAGTGATGGGTGTGATGACACCAACAGAGTGCATGCTGAAGTATCACATAAAGGAAGCTGAAGTTCATGAATGAGAGGGAAAAATAAAACATTGTTAAACAGTGAAAAGATGTTAGGGTGAAAAATACTCAGGAGATTGGAGAAGCTAGAGAAAAATACGCAACTTAAACTTCTGTCTTTCTCAAAAATTCCTAGTTATATTTATTTTTCATTATTCTGAAAAACACACCCCAAATCCTATTACATGGATAAAAGCAAAAGATCTTTTTATTTCTTGGGTAAACTTCTGGTTCTAATAATGCTGGTGACAAATTACTCATTAAATTCAAAAATACAGTATTTTAACCCATGAATAGTACTAGCCTTTATCATTTATAGCTCCTCCATTAATGTAGTACTGAATGCTGACAATTTAAGAAAGCATTATGTGCTATTTGTTTACATGTAAAAAAGCCAAGTATCTATTGATATGCTAATTAACTTCTTATCATTTGCCTCATTGTTTCTTTAAAAAAATATATGTACCTGTGCTACGCTGAAGATATCTCACCTTTCCATGTGCACCTGCAGTATTGCACTCTTCTGTAATTATTTCAGTGTGGACTGACTGTCCCACTGTGAAGGTCTTGCATCCTTTCTCACTTTACAGAGCAACAATGAGTCCTTTAAGCACTCCCAATGTAAACAAATTCTGAATAATTAAAAATCTTGGCTGAATATTGCTTTCTGTGTTTATTATAATTTTATAAAAAGGAGAGTATTTCTGACAAATAAGAATCCCTTCATTAGCCAAAAATATCGTGATCCTGAAACAGCAGGACTTTGAGAATATCATTATGTGTGCCACATTGAGAATGCACATAAGGTAACGACAGCCTATGCATTTATGGTACTAACCAAGGTTTATTTAATAAACATTTAACACAATCTCTGTTATCAACATGATTTCATACTTACAGTAGTTGACACTCTGGAAGAACATAGTTATATAATTTTGACCTATATGGAGGCCTAAGCCAGCAGAAAATAAGACAAGTAGGTAATCACCACTTCGACAGTACCTCTACCTTTTCTTAATTCTGGACAAGGCTTCTCATTATTAAGCTGAATTTTACACCCACCTGTTAATTAATCATGTCAAAAAAATCCCCAAGCCAAAACCAACCATTGAGATAAAATGTGTCATTCTGAGGGCTCACTATATTAATTTACACCAAAAACACACAAAAAGAACACTAACTATGATAGCATCAGACTCTAAACATCTGCCACTAAAGCAAATATCAATACATGAGCTAAATAGCTTCTCATCTCTTCTCCTTTCCTTGAGGAAAGGATGATATGGATGTCTCCCACTATTTCACAATGTGCCTTCAAAAACAAGAGCTATCAGTATGGCTCCCATGGCTGACTTCATTTTCCAGTGTACCCTACAGATTTTAATTGCTTAAAACGTTTTGTCGAACTGGGCAGAGTATTGGCAAGACCAAAGTTTCACAAATTGAAATGCATCTCATTATTTTAATTATAGATTTTATTTGACGAAAATAATCTTAATTTTTACTTATCTTCAATATAATTTAGAGCTAGAAGCACTATCATACTCTTTGTCTTTGTATGAAATTGAGTCTTTACCCTTTAGGGAAGAGGAGATGGAAAAATGCTTTGAACATGCCACTAAATAAATATTCTATTATTCTTACATATGAAAATAAAGTCTAGATTTCTAAAGTACACAAATATTCAAATCATGTGTAGACTACAAGATGCGGGGGAAAAAAATGCATGTGAGAGACAAAGAGCAAATCAAACTTGGATTGTGAAGATTTCTGGAGTCATGAGTCACCTCTATCTAAGTGACACTCAAAGAAAACATTTAATCCGGCCTTACAACAAGATTTTAAGTATCTGGAATAGCTTGATAACTAACAAGCAGCATCACCACATCAGAACAAACTGCAGGTAGAGACATCTCCATCAACAAGACAGAACTTCATTACATACGTGTTACAGGTGTAATCCCAACAATCAAGCTTGTTTGCATCCTGATTATAGTGATATCCTATAAGCTACCACTAAGAGGATATACCACCATCTTCTTGTAACTCTGCTATCAGTCTAATCAAATTCTGTTGTATTTACATCATCACTGAACTACATAAACTCTACTTAAATTACTAATTACTAATGACTGCTTTTTGGACTTTGTATGGCATTATTCTAAAGCTACTTTTTCTTTAGAAAGCAGTTTAAGAGATATATATGAAGCTGGGCTGCTGGTTTCTTTTCCTTCATTTTCTTTCTTTAAATAGCAAGGACTGTTTTTAAAACAGTGACTTGATCCTGCCAGGTGAGTTTTCTCATTTTAGTGCACAAAATTAATGCAAAATTATCCTAGAAACATTTACTTATTGTCAGACAATATCTAAAATTAAAGAAATCATTAAATAAATAAATAAAGGCTCAATTACTCTGTGCCAGACTACTTCAGTGGAAGTAAGGAGGACATTTCAAATCACACTCATCTGGATCTTTTTTCCATACTTTAAATTAATGCAAGGCAGATGTAAATCAGTATTTCTCGGTGTATTAGTTCTTCCTTCCTTCTTGCAAAATGTTTAATTTCCAGTCTCTAAAGACACAATTTACATATTTACTGAAGTATAAGGCCTGAAGTTAACATTACAGCTGCTTACAGATGTAAAAATGCCTAATCAAATGAGATCTATAAGAAAGATACAGCAAAGGAAAATGAAAAAGCATGTGTAGAATTTAACACTTCAAGGTGCTTATAAAACTACAATTCCTAAAAGCAGTTCCTGATGTTTTTCTATTCTATGTTGTGTCAAAGCCAAAAGAAAACAAGGTCCACAAACTAGAAAATGTAAAGTAGCAAATTAATGGAAGAGGTTTATAGATATGCAAAAAATTTCAAGTTACTGCAAAACAGGTAATTTAATACATCCTCTTCATGTTAAATCCTCTTGATTATAACCACTTTGCCTTCTGAAGTGTACAAACACGTATTTGCATGCAGTATATTAATCTCTGTGTTTTACTCAATGTGAAAACACTATCAGTTGCTGTACGTTCATGGGAGTGACTTTCAAGCACATGTAATGAAGCATGAAATAGGAAGTCACAGGTTAAAATGACCTTTCAAAACAGACATGGTACTGTATAGTATAAAAATAAAGTCTTTCAAATAGCATATAAAATAACCACAAAGGACTACTCACCATGTCATATGCTGTTACAATCTTTTTCAAGACCTCTGGAACAATCCCTTGGAGTTCCATCGTCGGATACTGATCATTGAGATTCAGTACTACCAAGGGTGTATTATCAGGCCCAACCAAGCGCGTAGACACTGCCAAAATGCACTGCATAAGATTTGCTACAGGAGAGAGGCCACATAATTCTTTGAATGAAACTACTGCATTCTGCAAAAAGGAAAGAAAGAGTTTCCTTTACAGTTAAAGATGAATTTTAATGTCTCAATTCTTTCAGGATAAAATACTTCACTGCTATAGTTGAGCTACAATGTGGAATTACCACAGCTTTTCCCTGAAGAACCGGCAGTTTTCCAAAGCAACCAATATTACACATATATTTTACCAAAAACGTTAAAAATTCAAACAGGATTCAATACTTGCCACAGAAAAAAAAATTCTATTTAGAACAAGTATGTCTGGTCTCTATCACTGCTAAAATTAACCATGCAAATAAATGAATTCTAAAACATACTGGTTATGTATTTTGAAAAATTCTGAAAGACATCTCAAATTTTTAAAATGCCACCAAGAGAAACAAAATTAGGTGTTGAATGTCCCAAATAAGCAAAGTGAAGTGGAAGGAGGAATTCAGCCCATTTGTAACTTTAAACATACCTGAACCATAGTCCAGACGTGCTGTGGATCTGCTAGCTCCCATTTGGTGTGATTCACAAACCCAGCACTCCACTACCAATGTCATCCCTATCACAGAATCACACTTAAGTGAATTTTTAAGGTACTTTAATATAAATACCAATTTTGTACCTTTCCCTAAAATTTATTATAGTTGTATTTTATATCCAATACGGTAGAATATAAAACCATACGTTTAAACTTGAAGAAAATTTCCAGTATTAGAAATACAGTGTGACTCCAAGTAGCCACTGAAATTCCATGATGGGAATATTCTCAGCATTGTAATGTATTTAGGATTTTTGTACCAAGTGGGAGCTGGTGATCTGTAGCAGGTCTGGAGTTTGTGTTCCTGTAGGAAACAAAAACAAAAATATGGCATATTTAAGTTACAAATGTGCTCAGTGCTCCTTTCTCCCATGTCTTACCCAAGCAGGGTATCTGACACAGATTTTTATTTTAATCAAAACCACTTTCCATCTTGCTGGCATGGTAAGACTCATTTGTGGACAAATTTCTTAGAGAGACATAATGCCAACCTTAATGCAAACAGGAATCAAACGTGAAATATTTTGCTGCCCCTTTATGAGACAAAATACCCAAAGTAGACTTCAAAATATGTGTATATATAGCATATTCATGCAAAATTACATCTATTACAGTCACTTACAGTGTACTTTAACTCTACGTAAATGTTTAGTAGCATCTAGTAAATGTCCAGGAAACAGAAACTACTTTTATTAACTAGACTACACCTTAATGACACAATAATTACATAGTTGAAAAGACAGACATTGGGAAGTCCATTCAAACAGATTTTGTTTGAGATAAACATAATGGGTAAGCCATTATGAACAACAATTTTACAGAGAGGTTAACGAGGACCCAGGGAATGTATATGTTATGTCAGGCAGGACAGAACTATGGCTATAACTCTTGCCTTTGGACTTCCAACCCTATATCCAGAGACTATCCCTCATACTGTCAAGCAATTTAAATACGCAACATCACATCCAGTTTAATCACTCGTTATACTTTTTTTACTGATTAACATGTAAAAACAAGTTATGACATCAGCTTTTGTCACAGTAATGTAGTACCTAACAAGGAAGAAAAAAGGCTAGCTACTTGTACAGTTTTAGAGAAACCATTAAACTCACTGCTGCACACTTTATTTTTTTTTCTTCTTCCATCTTACGTTAAAAAAACCTCAACTTTGCTCCTTCTAATCTGGCTTGTGGGGACATTATTTCTGTATCATAATAATCATAACAATTTACAACGCAAAATTTCAGTAATATAGAAATTAAACAAATCTCACATTCCCTGACATAAGTTGATATTTATTTTGAGTGGTTTATTTACTTTTATTAGCTGTAAAACTTTAGTTATGCAGAGTTTAAACTGTGCACATTATATAATGTCAGTAAAGCTATGCAAAACGAATACTCCCTCATGTACCTAAAATATCTTCTTGATAGCATTTTGAGAGATGACAATGATGAATGTAGTTGATAGCACAACTTTCAAACTGACAGAATAAAATACATAAAATATCTTTTAATATCTCATGTTCAAAGAAACCACTCTGTAGAGCCTGTTTTCAATTATATCAGTTCTGGAAAATACTGCAGCATGCACAGTAAAGAGTTTAAAGTAGCTACAAAATCTGTATGTTTTCACTGTTTCCTCAAATCTTAGGTTCAGCTCTTCCTTGAAAGGTATCTTAAAATACAGCAGCCTTTATATGACAGAATTCTAGGCTTCAATAGGTTAACCACAGGTAAAGTTCACTTTATATGTAGCCCATAATGTGAAACATTTAAGAGTCAAAATATCATCCCTGTATTTTTTCAATAATCTTTTAGTATAGCAATTTTATATACCAAGTGGAATGGGAGAGCTTCATAATGCTGTACTAATTTCTTCCTTCATATGAAGAAAAATTAGTTTTAAAATTGTACTACTACCTCTTCAATATAAGATTATTCATGAAGAAAATTTATCTACACTGATGTGCCTTTAAAATCCAGAATCAAGTCTCAGACATTTCCTTTAATCAGTTTCCCCTTAACATTACATAAGAGTAAGAGGATTTAACAGGTCACTTCATTTGAAATTACTGTGCTTAATTTTCTTAATCACTGCTAGTATTCCATCAGAAGTTTATAGATAGTTAAAAGCTTTATTAAATAAAACACAAGTTTACAACTCACTTTAATCTATGTCTAAAACGGTTTATTTACCTGAAATCTTTATTGGAATCTCCAAACAATGCATTTTTGAAGTGGGATCTCTTGGCTTCCACAAAAACAAGCACCTCAGCCTGTACTTTTTCCTGAAATTCAATGTGTTTACTATAGGTGACCTTTAAGGTACGGTAATTTCTTTTAGAGGATGCTAATACCTTAGCGCTAATTCCATGTATTTCTAATGTATTGTTGCTAGGAAGAATCATGGAAAGCAAATGGTATTTCTGAAAGTACTGCCTTCTATTTGGGAATGAGGAAAAAACAAAACCTCAGTGAAACTATGCTAAACATACTTTTACGTACAAGAAGTTTTCTAATAAGCAGTAAAGTCTCCTTTTTCTCCTTTTACAGAATCAGCTGTATTCTCCTCCTGCATTTCTATTTAACTTAATTTTCTAAAACTAAAATATTGCCATACTTTCCTCTAGTGTATATCTAACATTCCTTCAAAGACATAGGACGAGTCAACAGGCTTGAGTTCTAACACTGGAACCATATTTCCAGTTCACATTAAGAAAACACACATATGCATCCAAGGTTGCCTCAGTAGACAGTATCACCTAAAAGACTGCTCTGACATAATCCATTTTTACAGCTGTTCAGCATTAGACTCAAATAAAGTAACTTACAAAATGCAGCAAGACTCTTAAAAACACATATTCCATATGCATCATAATACAAAAATACACATAAGAACCGATAAATTCATTGTAAAAACTGTACCTGCATATTTTCTCTCAAATCCGTGGCATCCCGAATAGGTTGGAGAGCATTCTTGAACACTTCATCTATTGTTTTAATCCATAATGTTCTCATAGAAGCATATTCCCTTGATTTTTTGCCCTTCCTCACAGAGAGGCCCCGCTTATGAGGTTTCCCACCACCCCTTCGATTAGTAATGGCCACATGCACAAACAAGGAAGCATGTGCTAAAATTTCACCAGTTAAAGACTGCAGAGGAACGTGCCGATAACCAGTCTGTAGACACTCAAAGGGAATAGTGTATTGCCCGATAAACTCATCCCCAATGTAATCATCATCCAGTACTACAAAACGCACCATAGCCAGTTCTGGTAAATTTATTTGAAATTCAAAGCTTTCATCAAAAATTGGATTATCCCCATTCTGATGCATAGTTTTCGTCCTTTGCTCTGCACAGTCGGCAGGGATTCCATGTATTTCAACATAAACATAAGGATCCACAACATCACCTTTGGCACCTGATCCTTTGGGTTTAGGAAAGTTTTGCCCACTAATGATTTTAATATGAAGCAGCTGAGGCGAAACTCCAGGCACAGTGTCTTTCGTATTCGCGCTAAAGAAGGATACTTCTTCTCTCATGATAGCAGGACGAAGGACATAGCCACAGTTTCCATTTTGTCGAAACCAACCAATGTTAAGATCCATCATTAAGCCAGGTGTTTGAAAGTTCATTGCTACTATCTGACAACCACATTTCCAAAAGTCCTGGGGATTCATATTACTAGAGTCAATCCTCATAGGACTGGGGAAAACTCTCGCAAGAAAACGTTTGTTATAATTTACAAAGTCTCCCGGGTTTTCATTGGCATATTTGCTAGCAAGCACTTCATTAAACGAGCACACTTCCCAGTACTTCTGGAGCTGAAATGAAACTTGAAACTCTTTGAACTGAACTGATTTACATATGCTTACCAACTCAGAGAGTTCTTTGCAGAGCTGAAATCGTTTGCCCATCATTGAGTTTTGCTGTTCTACCCCCTCCTTCCCCACTCTCTGTGACATTTCTGCTCCTTCATCTTCATCTGTAACATCTCCCTCTAGTCCAGAACAATTAGAGGAAAGCTTCTTTGCTTTAATTAATATTTTCCCTTTAAGTGATTCCGGTGATGGAAGATAAGACTCTTCAATGTTTGGAGACTGTGTATGTAGCTTGTCCCCCAAAATTTTCTTCATGTGTTGTACCATAACTTTCTGCTGCTTAATGGAACAATGATTTTCTAAACACAAAATAAGAGGGTATTCTGAAGCAAAAAATGCATACTTGTTAATAATGTCAATCACACTACGGAAGACAATCTGCGATGTCATTGTATGCCCTGTGTAAATCACAGGCTCATTATCCGGACCATCCCACACATCCAGTTCAACACTTCGACAACCCATTTTAAGAGCGCGAATGTAACCTGTGATGTCAGAAGGCCCTCTAAACTGATCCTCTATCAAGTATGTATTATGAGATGAATTTATAAAATAATGAGATAAAGGCTGTTTCATATCTTGACAAACTTTTTTATGTTCTGGATCAAATATGTGGCAGTCTGGTGAAGTAAGGTAATTCGTAAACCCATCTAGAGAAAGACAACCCTTTTCCTGGCCCTCTTTGGCTGGCTCGTATTTCTGAATAATTTCAAGGCTTATTTCTTCTGTGACATGTGCCATACCCTGTTCTGCTTCTAAAAACATCATAAGGTCCTTGGTATCTAGGAATTCTTTATTGCTCGAAAACTGAACCAACAGGAAATAGATTTCAGGTCTGGTACAAAGCTCATGAAAAACTTCAATAAACTCTTCTTTTGTTACTTCAGTACCAGTTTTTTCCTTGGATCTATGTAACTCCTTGAATTTTAGTTCAATTTTATTAGTTTTTAAACCAGGATTTAAGTCTTTTATAAACTGTACAGCATTACACAGGGGTATATGTCCCAAATTATCTACATCTGATTCACTGAACATTTGTGAAAGCCATGAAGTCCGCATATTATCTTGAGTACTTTCTATCATATCTAGAGTATGTTTTCCATAAGAAATAAGGTATCTTAAGCCAGTAACCCAAATATTTGCAATGTCTGCTGAGTTAGCAACAAGATCTAGTGACTCATAGTTTTCTCCATATATAATTGAAAATGCACAGTCTTCTGATATCTGGTCATATATTCCATTGCTGCGAAAAATATCTGTATTTTTTCCTGTTCTTACTTCTTTGATTGATTTAATATCAATCTTTGCTTTTTCAGAATCCTTTTTTGAAGGTTCCCAGCGTAGAGACTGCATATCTGCATCTAAAAGAAAGTATCGGTGATACACCCTAGAGTTGGATCGAATCTTTTTGAGCTCAGAGCCTTCAACCATCGCGTTTATACAGTCACTTGCACTGCTGATCTTTTTCTCAGTTGGCATACTGCTAAACGACACAGTCTTCTTCCGTTCTCGCTTTTGTTTCGTACCATCCTGGTAAACAAGGGGGAAAAGAAGAAAACATGTATCAGTATGATTTTGCTCAACATTGAAATAGGTTTCAACTTATAGCTGAAAGTGTGATGACCAGTAAGATGGAAATTCTTATTGGAATAATCACAAATGAAAATACTAATAATGGCTTAATATTTGTTCTTGTCTATGTAAGTAATCTTCCAGGGTTTGGTTTTTTTTTTAATATTTCATATGAACAGAAAATTTTAAAAAGCAAGTTTTGAATGCTAATGAAATAATAATGCTGTATAAATGTGTTTTATTTTATCAGTAATAACCTACTTACAGAGATAATGGGTTCTACAGCCAAGACAGTAGGAAGTAAGCTTTCCTCTGAGTCCTTATACAGTGCTACAGATACTTGCTGAACTTAGTCAGTACAGAATATAAGGCTTTAATACCACGCTGACAGGGTCCTCATGAACACCAGAGAAACATTAATACACAATTAACTACATAAAATCCATAAGACATGGTCCTAATCTAAGTATACAAGACATTAACAGCACTTATTATGCATAGCTCCCTTCTCCACTGCACCCATCCATGTTCTTCCCATAGACTACCCAGAGCACTGACACATGCATCCCACCTAAACTAGGAAAACATCCACATCAGTCTTAAGAAGCTACACTGAAACACAAGTGACTGGACTGGAGCAGATATAATTCACTGCAAGCTCCAAGTTTCAGGAAATATGACAGTGACTCAAGAGGGAACCGTCCCAGACAACTGAAGTTTAACTGGTTCCAAAGAAGCTGCGTAACATTAGAAAGAACTTGAATGGAAAATGCAAGACCTGGTCAGGAAGGGAAGCAAAAGTGATTCACCTTTGCTCTTAAAACAATGAAATAACCCAGAGGTCTTAGTTCACTAGAGAAAGCTTGGGTAGCAAACTGGATATATAAGCCATTTAAAAAAAAAAAAAAAAAATTATGTCATTTAGCTACCTCTATTTGCTCTTTGTATTCATTCAAACAAGTGCAAATGAATCGGTAACGGATCACTTAAGTATAACCAATTTCATGAGAAAGAACTGAATTTAAGAAAACTGTGTGCTTTCATTATCTGCATTTTCTGAGACTGAAAAAATGCTGCAAGTATTTTGGTTTTCTTTTAAAAGCATCATGTGTCTTGATAAGTTAACTTTTAGTTGGAAATAATATTTCCATGAAATAATTTTTTTATGTTAGATACTCTACCTAGAAGTGGTGTTCTTATACTCCAGCACGGCTCAAAAAACTACTTTTCCAGCTTTATACAAAAGAATGTTGATTTTCCCTCTAATAGTTTTCCATTTGAAGTATGTTCCAGTGCAAATCAGCATTGCTTATATGGCAGAAAGGAGACGGAAAGAAAACTTTCAACAATTACTACACTGAACAGATGTTCAAATAAAAACCATCCATTACAGAATGCATTTCCAGTTCAGGGCATATGTACTGTATGTTTAATTTCATTAAATTAAAAATGCAGAATTCTGGTTTTGTAATTTAATTTATAAGCATCCAAAAAGCCTTTCACTGAAAACAATGTTAGTAAAGTAAGCAGACTTAGTATTTGCTGTTCCATGTTTGAGAAAATTAATCAACCATACGATTCTTGCACCTTTAATGACAGCAGAATTTGCTTTACACAAGTTCTCAAGAGATCAGTAAAAGTGAATAACCCTACAGAGGACTGTTTTATTTCTAACTCCAGATAAAACACCTGCAATGGATACCACACAGGGCTGACTCTTGGAATCTTATTACATGTAGTTTGGGCACGAGGATTGCTTTCAAACAGAAGTCAATTTCCTTAATTTAAAAAAAAAATAAATTACAAATATGATTTTTGTTTACAAAGGTTTTTTTTCTATTTTAAGCCTAGCTTCTTGTCTGGCTACCTGTCTATCGACATCTCCTAACCTGAAAAAGTGGCAAGGGACAGCCCCACAGAACTGAGCAATGACATTACTGTCCAGTATTTTAGGGCTTGGAATGAAGCATGCTGAAACTCACTAACGCTCCAGACTTCTGAGTCACAGATCTAGGAGGCGAATATATTTCTTGAACTCTTCAGTGAGAGACAGCTGACAGACAGAACCATCAAGGCCTGGGAAGTATTACTGTGCCTGACCATGATCAGTATTTCCAAGCAAAAGGAAGGTCTTGCCTTGCTCTGTGGTCAGGATTGTGTCTGATCCAAGACACTGAATGGCAAGGGAGAAAAAATCTGCCATTTCTTGATGCCATCTGATGTAAATAGGTCCATCTCAAGGCAACCCCATTCCCAACTCTAGTTACCTAAAGACTGAACTAGAGTTTACACATGCGGATCAGAGGAATAAGTCAATCTACCACACCTGGAAGACTATTTTGCTTGCCTGCCAGATGAATTTGAAGCCAGTTCGACAGTATTCTTGCATTTCTGCAGGGTAAAGCAATCTCACCATTCTCTTACTCATATAAAACCTGCTGGTGGTAGACATCACTGTCTGAATGTGACGACCGTGAAGACAAATTTTAAAATACTCTTGTGAGTTTCTCACAGCTCTGAGCTCCAGAACACCCTTCATAAGTTTTTGCTTCTCCAGATATCAATGATCCTGAGCTACCAGATTGCCTGTGCAAGTCCCCACCCTGACAGAGACATGCCAGTCACAGTCAATCTGCATAAACAGAAAAACTTAAAGGATGTTTTCCCAAAGACACTGGCCAGAATTATCCACCTGTCTGAATTATCCACCTGCCTGAAAAGAAACAGAAAAGAAACTCTCACTCATACGTTGAGAATGTAATTGTATAGAGTGTGCACAAACTGTATGAAACAGGTTTGTGAGCCTCAGAGATACAGTCTGGCATGGAGAAGGAGGCAGATATATTCTGCTATATGATGTGGAGGATTTCACCCTGAAAGTGGGGTGGTATTCATGAACTGGGTCAGGTCTCTCATGGCCTTAAGTCTGTCTTGAATCAAAGAGACTGGCACATCAGAAAACTGTATGTATCTGAACAAACACAGGAGTGACTTCTCAGCATTCATGAGACTTACAGTGTTCTTGATGCTGTTCAAGATGCTCAAAGTGAGGTTGGCCCTACAGTGCAGATGCATAACTCTGTCCATTGCATAAGCTACAATTTTTGTGCTGAAACAACTTTCAGAGTCATTCTAGGACCTCTCACACGATGAAAGCCATGTCAATCTTCAGATTATAACAGGTACTGTCATCATAACTCAGAACTTCCCCTAAAGACTGCTTGTTCTTCAGAAGACTTTATCATTGAAACCAGAATGACCACCTCATCGATACATTTACTAAAACATGTGCCACATCCAAGGTCACCTGCAAGAAGTTTTGAGAAACAGACCAGACCACAGATAAACTTTGCTAATATCCACTACAAGTGATAACACAAAGAGTTTAGTTTATCCAGGAGTTTGTAGCAACAGAAAGCAAAGTATCTAGCAGTTTAAAAAACAGAAAAAATCCCAGCTGACAGCTATGGCACTTAAGAGACAGAGACAGCTGGAGAAAACGGCTTAAAAGAGCAAACAGGGAAGCGTATCTCCATGACAACTTTTTTTTTATTCCTCTCAAGGTACAAAGAAATGGTTGTGTGACTAAGACAGCACTATCTACAAAACAGAATTCTGGAGACAACAAAGAATCTTGAATCTGATGCTGAGAGATATGCACATCATTCCTGAACAGCAAAGCGTTTAGTATATGCAATTTTATGACAAAACTACTTAAAGAGCAGTGCCAATAACCATGGGTACTGATAGGGACAGAGATCAAACAGAGATTTGATAACGTATAGATCACGATGATAAAGGAAACAATAAATAGTGCAAGGTTTGTAAACATCTACTAAAGGAAAGGATGCAGAGAGTGAACTTTATGACCTGTAAATGCCCAAACGAATCATGCCCCAGAAGACACCATGGGGAAAGCAGTACTTCAAAAAACATTCAATCCCGGAGTTACCAAGAAGTTTAGGTACTGCTCCGAACAGTGGAATCTAGAACACTTTGGAAAGAAAATTAAAGCCCAAGGCAGGGGCCTGCCACCCCCCTGAGGTGGGAAATGAGGGGCCACAACCGGAGCACTGCGCAGGACAGTACTTCCATCTGCCAATACAGAATGGTCCTTACACTCGCCAATGAAAACTCCAGAGATGGGTGTCTGCGATCCTGCCTCTCTCCATGACTAAAGCAGCTAGATGCAGCTTTGATGCGGTAGTTACGCTAACTGGGATTTGAAGATTACGGCCTCCATCTGCATTTAGCCCACTAAGGTACTCCTTTTGGGACAGAGGACTTTACAAAGAAAAGACAATGGTAACAAGAAGAAGTGGCAGAATGACACATTTTTAGAGCACTCACCTGGGAAGTGAAAGTCCCTGATGTCATTAGTCCATAAATATTTCACTTGGTGACCCTGAATGCAAAACGTACAAGCAGTCCATGCAGCAGGGACCTGAACACTGAATTTTGCCCTCTGAGAGGAATACCCACCTCCCCAGGTGACAGATCCTGCTGCTTCTTGTTTATGCTCTAACCACACAAAATTTCCATTCGTGTTTATATACCACAGGTTCATCAGAAGCATGGAAGGCAGCTCCATCCTAGTGTTGAGAGCACGCAGCTAGCACATGAGGAGCTGCACATTTGACGATCCCCAGGCAGAAGGACTAGAGCCCCATCACTCAATGAGTCGGTGAGTGCTCTGCCAACCAAGCAACTACATAAAAAATAGAGCATAAGACACCTCCTCTCAACCCCAGCACCTCACTGCAGGCTTTTTGACTCTAAATGGCTGAGCTTTGACAACGTGTGAAGAAACTCACACACCTTGTGGCAATGATGGCACACAGTCTACAAGAGCCACAGTCCCAAGAATGTCTACTTAATTAATCCCAAACAGCCTTAGAAACAAGATGGATGCTGAGCCGTTCCACCTAGCAAAGATGGCAATGTCCGTATGTAT